TTAGGAGTTTATCACCCNCTTTCTCATCCCTCAACAAACCAAGGTTTCTTTGGTTGATAACAACCTTGTCTCCCTCGACAAATTCCCAGTTAAGTCTCCCCTTGTTATATGCCTTCCTTTGAAATACTTGCCCCAAGAGGAGTGCATCCCTGGCTTGTGTTCTTTCCACTGTGAAGCCTTCTACCAAATTGAGCACTTTGTCGTGCAGCGTCTCCTGATCGACATTCCCTGAATCCGAGATCTCTGTTCAATTGATGTTCGGTGCTTGCCCTAAAACGGTGGAACTGGTGATGGGTTGAAAGCCACATAAGAGGTATGCAGGACTGAAGCCAGTAGTGGTATGTGGCAATGAATTGTAAGAAAGCAACAAGGCGTCTAACATCCCGCTCCAGTCATCTCTGTCAGGGCCAATATAGGCACAAATTGAGATCTCCAGGCCTTGATTCAAGATCTCCATTTGTCCATCAGCCTGAGGGTGGTATGACGTCGTCAGGGCTCTTCTCATTCCCATCAATCGGCAGATCTCCTTCCAGAAATTGCCCCACCATCTCGTGTCCCTATCCGAAATCACTTGTCGAGGAATGCCAAACTTCGAGATGACATGTTTGAAAAACAATTTAGTGGTTTCCTCCTCTGTGATCCTTGTCATAGTTGGAATTAGGATCACGTACTTGGTAAGTTTATCCACAATTACCAATATATTGTTGAATCCATTTGAATTCGGTAGTTCTGGTATAAAATCCATACTAACTACTTCAAAGGGTTGCGACGGCACCAGGATTGGTTGTAGTAATCCTACAGGGCCATGCCTCCTTGGTTTTGTCTTCTGGCACATGTCACACATGTTTATGAAGATTTTGATTTCTCTCGACATCCGGGGCCAGTAGTAAGTGCCACTGATTCGGTTATATGTTTTAAAATAACCTCCATGAGCTGCCTCGGTTATCGTATTGTGCCCTTCCTGCATTACCTCAACATGCATTTCCTTTGGTATGCACAATCACGTGTTGCCTGCAGTGTCTTCAAAGTAAATGAGTCCGTCCTCAGAATAATGATACTGTGAAGGTGCAAGGTTTGTCTCATCCTCTTCCTTCTTGTTCTTGATTACTAAACTGAAATGTGGGTCCCTATCATAGGTGTTCTTCCATCTGCTTAGCTCTTCCTTGCTTACTTGAACTGTAGTGGAGTAGGAACATGATGTTGCGTATTGTATCTTGATTTCTTCTCCATCTACTACTTCTAGATCCTGGAGGAAGGTCTTAGAACCTTCCCTCCTAATCCAGGCTCTTCTGAGTCTGCTGCTGGTTCTGGAACTCTTGTTCGGCATATTTGGTGCACTTGGTGTGCCTAAAGCTCGTACGCCAAATATAGTCAAGCAATCGTGTTGCGTCGTATATGATCAAACATGTCAAGTCTGGGTATACCCGTGTTGCCTAGTTATAATTCATAAAATACAGAGAAATTGGTAAGAAAATAATAGAGTCTCTGGCAGATTGAAAGGGAACAGTAGATATGTGTAAGGTATATATGAATGTACCATAACACCCAGTCTACTGGCTCAGACACATTTTCAATTGAGAATGATGAGGGTCAATGTATGACCCTCAGCCAGAGATTCTCTGATTCCCCATTGTGTGGTTCATTGGGTGGTTGCTCATTGGTTTTATTTTCAGAAAACTCAAACATTTTAGTTAGCTTTGAGTGCTGCTGTGAGGTTGAAGGAATAATTATCATGTGACCAGCTTACAAAACAAGCTTGAGGATAACAAATGAGGAGCACAAATAAGGCAGTTTTGATAGGAAAAAGTTGAATTGCTGATTTTGAAATGGACACATCTGGAGCAAGGGACATTGATACAGATGAAACCATTTCACCTGTATAAAATTCGATTTTAATGATTTGACCAATAAAAGGTCATCTCTAAGAAATACACTATGTACAATTGCATAGATACAAAGAGTCAATGAGCATACCTGGCTCAGTTGACTAAAAGTGCAAATGCATGGAATGTGAAAATAGGACAAAGGCTTTGGAACTGGCAGCAGTATGTGTCATGACATTATACTTGGATCCTGTCTAAGATTCACCTACCATGAAATAGAGCACAAAGAGGCTCTAAAGTAAACATCCAATGCAGGGAGAAGAATTGCATTACTACTAAGGGTTTAGAAACACATAATGGATTTAATGTGAAACTCATGTTTTTTACAAGATATACAGAACAACAATGTGGATGCCTAGTGGTATGTCCAAAACATTGAAAAGACTAAACTACACCTAAGTAGTAAATGTATAGAGACTTAGTGTGGCTTGCAGCCATTCAGAAAGTCATGTACAGCAATTCCCATGTACAATCAAAGACTGATGCATCTCAAAGTCACAAGTACAAACATGGGAAAAAGACACATTCTATTATATGAGATATAATGGGAACCCCCTGACAACTAAAAGTGACATTTGAAAACATCCTCAGAGTGTCCTCTGTAATGAAAAGACAAGCCAAGACAGGGCATTTTGTTTAAAAACTTGGGAACAATGAAAGACCAAAGGCTATTGGTAATGCATATGCATGCACATCAGGAAACATTAATCATTATATGATGCCATCTGTCAAACCAGTAACCAGGCCATAGAAAAGAAACATGCAAGATCATGCCAAGCTAAGAATAACTACATTGGTTAGCTCTGCATATGCATGCAACACTGATGCATTTGAAAATTAAAAATGTGACACTACAAAAATCCATAGTGTTCACAGAGATAGACTACAAAATATACCACACATTCATTAAATTTTCATATTTGTAATTTGGACTGCAGTAACCCATATAAAACACATGTAAAATGTAGATAGAGGTTCTTGGAGTATATAAGGAGTGCAATGGCAGGTCAAAAGGCAAGCAATTGCCCCCCCCATTGACCAGCTAGTTGTACTCCAAGTAGAGATATAGGAGGTGGACAGTTGTAATCAATCAAAGGAGATTTCTTCATGGTCAGATAAGTACAGTGTGAGTGAAGCCAGCATGCTTGGGAGTCAACTTGCTTAGAGACTTTTGAATAAGAGGTTTTATACACAGTACCATTTAGACATGACAGCATACTTGTACCCTTTGCTTTGCAGTGTAGTGACATAATAAAAACTCATGGGAGTCATAAAAGTTACTAGAAGTCATGTTTCATGTCAAT